TCAGGCAGTAGAGAGCGCTTGGCACACCAATTACTATCCCAGGATGCTATTATTTCATTTCTGTTGGACCACTCTCTTAAAAAGCTCAATGGTCTTTGGTCTGTTGTGCAGAGCAACCTACCCACGAACATCTTCAACTTCACCATCAAGTACCTGAACAATACTCTCCCTACGCGCAAAAATCTAAGCCTTTGGAACCTAAGCCAATCATCTGATTGCGAATTCTGCCTTCTTCCCGAAACTTTACTCCATGTCGTTGCAGGCTGCAAAGTTTATCTCGAACAAGGTCGTTATACCTGGCGTCATAATTCTGCTCTAAATTTTCTTGCAACCTTCTTGAAAGCAATAGAGGGATCCTCTCTTTTTGCCGATATACCTGGCTTCTCCTCACCATCCATCATAACTGGAGACAATCTGCGCCCAGATCTACTTCTGCGTACAAAGGAAAACATTCTTTATGTTTTGGAACTAACGATAGGATTTGAAACTAACCTTAACTGCAATGCGGAAAGGAAACGTTCAAAATATGCTCGCCTTGTCTCAGATCTAAGACCAATGTTCAAATCTGTCATATTTGTAAATCTCTCCATCAGCTCTCTTGGCATCTTCGGCGACTCATGCAGCTCATTCCTTGAAATGTGTGACTCTCTTTCCATCGATGATCCACACAAACGATATCTCATTTCTAAGCTTTCTACGATATCCATTCGTACCACCTATTACATTTTTTGCTGTAGGAACAAAACATGGACTAACCCAGAGCTACTCCCCTTTTAACGTTCTTTTTTTCTTTTCTCTTTACTACAATTGTAATAGTCTTATTTTGTAGAAACAGGCTAGCCAGTTACAAATTACCTTGTAATAGTGAGATTTGTAATTGTAGTTTTAACTGGAATTCAAAATGAAAAGTTTCCATTATTATTATTATTATTATTATTATTATTCTTCGAAACTCACTCAAATCTTCGCCCAACGAAAACATCAAATCCCTATGGATGAACACCAATTGTGGACCTAATATACAGTTCGACGCATACAAGAACACTAAGGCGGTACTGTAATGTGTAAGAGATGAACACACTGGAAAGCTCAAAACTCAGTTAAAATCTCAAGGCTTCATCGTTTCATTCCTGCTTGAGCATTCCTATACAAAGTTAACATCACTCTGGTCTGCAGCTCAAAGTAAACTTCCAAAAAACATCTTCAACTTTACGATAAGGTATCTCAACAACACACTAGCCACAAGGAGCAACCTCTGCTTATGGAAAATTAGCTCTTCTCCAGATTGCTCATTCTGCCTTCAGCCTGAATCACTTCTTCATGTCGTAGCTGGATGTAACAAATACCTTGAGCAAGGGCGTTTTATTTGGAGGCACGACTCTGCCCTGCACTTCATTGCATCATCATTTCAATGTATCCGAGATGTATTCATATATGCTGACATTCCCGCTTATTTATCACCATGTATCATAACTGGCGATTCGTTCCGTCCCGACATGCTAATCAAAACTGCTTCTAACTGTCTGTATGTCATCGAATTAACTGTTGGGTTCGAGACTAACCTGGATAATAACGCTTTGCGTAAAGCTGAGAAGTACCGTTCCCTTCTAAAGGAACTACGCCCTAAGTTCAAAAAAGTAAACTTTGTTAATCTATCTATCAGCTGTCTCGGTATCTTTGGTAACTCCTGTGATTCTTTCATTGATATGTGTGATGAACTAAAACTTGACTACCAACACCGTAATTTTATAATTAAAAAACTGTCAGCAATAATTATACGCACATCCTATTATATATTCTGTATGCGCAATAAGACTTGGACAAACCCTGAACTGCTCTCCTTCTAAAGATTCTTTGCACTCATATGATTTATTTAAATGTTATAACTTTTGTAAAATTAGTAAACTTGTCACCAGGCTAGCCGATAGTAACTACCTGTAAAGTGAGGTTACTGTTGTAAGTAGAAGAATAT